GGTGGGTGATTTCCAGCAACCCTCGGCGGCATCATTTCTTATCTGTCCTGCTTATTGTCCATCTCCTGTTGACTTCTCTTCATTATTGTGAGACGTTGATGTCCCACCGCAATGTCTTATGTCAAAATTGTGTGGGTTGCTGCAAGCACTGGGGTTAAGTGTCAGTGTGGGGCAGGGTGAGTCAATAAGAGCGAGACAGGAGGAATGGCTGCACCCCTCACCGCCTCTGGTGGCACAAAGGAGCTCTCAATAGCTTGGAGTACTATTTGTTTTGTGGAGATTGTCTGACGGCATCAAATGTGCTAATTTGGGGTTAGGGTCCATGCAATATTCATGCAGCACAGAGCTAAATTCTGTAGCGCAGCCCTGCTTTTTCCTACAGGAAGCTCTGGGTTTAGTCCTGTAACCTCCAGTTGGAAGATCAAGGGGAGAAAACGTTCTGCTGCTTCTCCAGCTGGATGGGTCAATTTAACTTGCTTTCATAGCTTCCTAGATCCTTCTGGTTCATTATTCCAACATAAATCTTTCCCCTCTGAGAAGATGGCTTGATAGGATGGGTCAGCACAATGGACAGTAAGTCCTCCATGAAACATTTCCGTTGGCCAACGAATATTAAAATGGACTCAGAAGTGTTTAACCCGGGAGGTTAACCCCTTGCCTGGATAAGAAGAGGCTGAAGAAATAGAAGGATGCTTCGGTATAAGGACGCCATTCTCTGCTCAGGTGGACCGTGCAGATATGATAGATGAGCAATCCGATCATGGCTGGTCTTCTTTCTGAAACAAGTATCGAATCACGGCATTAGCAGATTTTGAAGGTGGGCCTTTTTTCCCAGTGCCAGGGTCAATACCCCCATACCCAGCGGTGCCCACCAATTTCTGTCACCCGCTCAGACCTGCAGAACCTCACGGCGAGGGCTATTTTGGACTGTGAGTGGAGCCGGATCTTAATCAGAATTGCTCCAGAAACATGTTTTCCTCATTTTGGTGGAATTTGCATGGCATCTGGAGTAAGGAAGGTAGTCCCGAATAAATCATGATTATTTGCAATTCATACTTATATTTTCCTCTAAGCATTTGTTCACCTTATCATTTTTACCCCACAGGCCAGGCTGAATATGTATGCAGGAGATCAATCAATCAATGTCTCATTCATATATATATACATACACACACACACACACACACACATGCACGCATGCACGCGCATGCACATGCACACAAACAGAGTCTCTCAATCTCTCTCTCAGCATGAAGGTAAATGTAGGAGATGGGTAATTTAATACTGTTGTTTAAAAATTCTGAGTCTCTCGCTTTCCAATTTTGCATAACTCACACAGAGAATTTTTATACGTACTGTACATCTGCTAGCCCGTTCTAGGTGCTTGGCTTACATTCTTAGAACACCTAAAATGGATGAACCCAAGAGGGTCTCTGATGATATGCAGAGTTCTTTGTCACAAGAGATCTCCACCACAGGGGTGGACGTGGTACGTTCAGAGTAATGGTATCCACCACCTGCTTCTGCTACTTTAGAAATGGACCAGAAATGGGTTTCGTACAGTACATCTGTATGACTATTTAAATAAAAAGATGTTGGTTGGAGACTCAGGGTCAGGAAGCTTCTTCAGGATGTTCAGTCAGCTTCGTCCAGTCCTTTCTCTGCACAAACCCATTTCCAGTGGCACATTTCCCAATTTATAATAGAGTTGAGATTGGAAGAATCCCAGTTTTATTTCTCTGGTTGAGTTACTCTCTTTCTGGGAGATTTCTTCAGGTGCAAGAGAAGAGGCCTCCTCGGGAAGGCTTGGGTGTCCTCAGTGACCCCTCATGGATCTTGTTGATAGAAGCTTCTTCTAACGCGGAAGCGATGCGGCTTTGCTGTCGGGTTATCTGGAGGAAATTTGGGTGAAAATAAATATTTGTGTGCTGGCAGGGAAAATGAATGTTCTCCCTTCTGCTGAAGCATTTTCTCTTAGTCTCTGTGGATTGCAAGCATTTCTTCTTCTTCTTCTTCTTCTTCTTCTTCTTCTTCTTCTTCTTCTTCTTCTTCTTCTTCTTCTTCCTCTTCCTCTTCCTCTTCCTCTTCCTCTTCCTCTTCCT